GAACTGAGACCTTCAGAGGAATAGCCCACACTGGTACCTATTTTTTCCCCAAGACCTTTTTCTTTTATGTCTAAAAGTTGAAAGCACACCAGGTATCCCTGATACTGGTCAAGAATTTGTTCTCTCTGGGATTTTCTCCTCTACAAAAAATGCAGAAAACTAAGCAAAAAACCCCACAGAAACCTCCCACAAAAAAAGAAAAAAAAAAAAAAAGCCTGCGTCTCTTCTGGCCTACTGGTAACTTAAAAGTTATTGTGACAGTTTCTTCTCTTGGGCTTGCAGCAACAGGTACCTAGAAACATCTGTGGATGATGGGGTTGCACTTTTTAGGGAATGCAGTGAATGCTTATTGTCACAGTTTTGACTGTAAGGACTGGATTCTTCCCTATTGCTGAGTGTTTATTCTTTGCATTTCTTCTTACCTCTTTTGGCTGCTTCTTCTTGGCCTTGGCTTGCATGCACGCAAGTTCTGTTTCGGCTCACCTCCTGGGCAGCTAGAGTTTCGCTGTCCAGTTTGTCTTCCTGTGTCCTCCCCACTCACACATAGGGTCTGACCACCCTGACTGACAGCCTGCCATTTCCCTGCTTGCATCCAGACTGACAACCCAGCTCTTGGAGGACTTGGGGCTGGTATTGCAGCAAGTGCTGAGTACAGAGTGCACAGGGGTCTGAAACAAGTGACCCTTGTCACAGCAGCAACACAGAGAGGCTGATTTTGTGATTATGTGGCCAGATGAGTGCCTGCTGTGTTTCTCCAGGAAAATTTAGTTATTAGGAAAATTGGCATATTGTTTCAGACTTCTTTGCAATAGATGCAATGAGCTGGCTCTTGTGTGTCCTTTCAGAATATTTTTTGATGCATCTTAAGCACTCTGTTTCTTCTTTGCCACTGACCCAGCAGTCTTGGGGGTCAATGGGGAATCTCTCTGCTTCCTCTTAAGACTGAGATGCTTTTCTCTGTCCTGTGTGTTGCAGGGAGGTGTGTGGCACAGCCCAGCCATCCACCTGGAGATTGCAAATTACATGGAAAACTTCCCTCTCCCCTTGCTCTGCATTTCACCCCTGTGGTTTGATGACATCCAGCAGGGCCCTTCCCCCTCTCTGGTATTTACGCCAAGCTTGGCAGTAATCATCTGCCCTTCTTGGGCTGAATTTTCTGCTACAAAATCTCAGTGATTCTTCCCAGCTTTTGGCAAGTCCTTCCCCAGATGCTTAACTTTGCCTGGATTTCTCCACAGAGGAGAAACTGAGATCCTCTTTCCCACAGCAAGATACTTTGTTTTTCTGGGGTATTCCCTCTTATGTCATGTATCAAAAATCTATCCAAGTGTGTCTTCTGATGCTCCCCCTCCTTTTAGTTGAGATCCCTTCTGGTGATGCAGGCAAAGCACAGAGAAGGTTGTGAAGACCGAGACAATGTTTTCAAATCCTGGAGACTTGAAAAACCTATTTTGAGCTATAACAGATGCTACTGGACATATGGAACAGCTGAGGGGACTTACACCAGGACTATAAATGTTCTGCAGATCTTTATGTCCCTGACTCAGTGGGTGGGTTTCCTATAGGAACCGAATGCTGGAGGGAAGTGGATATAATGCACATCACTAATGTTAATGACTTTCCTGTGGAAAATTTGCCACAGGGAATTGGTGATAGCATATCTTTGGTGGAATAGGGCTCATGGTAGCCAAAAAGGTAGCCTAAACAACAGTCCTGATGTAGGAGGAAGTTCCCACTGACCTGTGGCTACCTTGAGACTAGAGTTTTTTATAACTCTCTATATAAATTTGAGAATCCCAGGCCAGCATGTAAACTCTTTATTGGTTTATTGGTATATTTGACTATCTGCAATACTTTAGTCCTGAAGGAGGTTTGGATTCTGTGCAAACAGTCTGGTCTAATCAAAAGTAATCCCGTGATCCCCTGTTCTTCACTTGTCTTCTTTGTCATCTCTCTTCCTCTTCCATCCTGCTCCCTAGAAGCCAGGCTGTAGTATTTCATGCTTCATTTCCCAACAAACTTTGTTCCTCTGTAAATATTTCCAAATTCTAGAGTAGCCCTTCTTCTACCAGCACCACTGGCCTGAGCACTGTGCATGAGCCATGGTAACTGGTGTTGCCTGCAGGGACATTTCATATTCCTCCCATCTCTCCTGGTCCCAGCTTACAGCCAGGTGCTACACAAACATTCTGTCTCCTTCTCCCAGCAGTCTTCAGTAAAGGTGCTGCGTGATGCACATCCATACACAGGCTTTGCACACTGCTTTGAATGCAGGTACATTGCTCACAGACCTCATGCAGCACAAGGAGCTGGAGGAAGATTAGCTTGCCTGTATGCCATGGAGCCTTTCTCTTCATGCTTCAGTTTGCTTGGCTCAGCTGGCAGTCAGGCTGGACTCTATTATTCAGCTGTGTCCACCCCCAAGTCCAGTGTAGGGAATTTTATTTGCCTGATTCCCTGTTGGCTTACTGGCAAAATGTCAGAGCATCACTTGTCTTGCCCTCTCCACTTCCTGCAGAAAAGAGAGTGGCACTGATCTTACATGGACATGCCAACTAGTTTTTCTTGGTTTCTTCTCCAGTGCCTCTTGCCATGTAATCCCTATCATGTGCTCCCAGCCTGTCAGAGTGATGAAACTGCCAACACATGGTGATCCCTGCTCCCACTGCTGTTCCACAACACAACAGTTCCATGAGAGCAGCTCTACAATGCCAGCGATGCATCATATGCCATGTACCAAAGCTGCAGAGCACTGCAGTGTGTGTAGCCTTCTGCAGGATTGCATTGCAGGCCTGGCTGCTGAACCAAGACACTCCCAATTTACCTCCTGCTCTGTTCTCCTCAGCTCTTGTTCAGTATCCAGTGGCTGTCAAGTTTCTCCTGCTCTCAGTCTGTCTGGGCAATGGTCCCCACGATTTCACTGGGGACTGCAAGGTTGTGTGGTCTTACAGCATCACACAGCCCTGTGTAAGCTCTTGCTTGCTCTCCCTCTGTTTCTGTGCATGTGTTTTATATACAGTTGTCATAAAGGCAGCAGGAGCAAATCACAGAATCATAAAACCTTAAGGCTGGGAAAGATATCATTGAGTCAAACCTTTGACCAAACACCACTGATTGTTTAAACTTACCTCTCCTGTGCCCTATTTCTTGATTTTAGGGGACCTTAACAAGGGTGCCTTTATTGCATCTCAGAATTACATCTGCTCACAGTGTGCAATCAAGTCTGTATTTAGTCCATGCCACCAACTCATCAGAACATTTCAGCTGGTAAATCACCCCACACTGGCTTCTTCCTAAAGAGGATTTTCACATACTGTGGGGAAATCCCTGGCCTGGTGCATTTTCAATTATTTTTTTTGCTGTATATTGCAGAAAAAAGGCTCTGATGGTAGAAGTGGTGTTCCTTGACATCTTTCCTTACTCACAATATACCTCTTTAGATTTAACAATTAACTTTTCACCCCATGGCCCTGGGGTGAGCAAGACTTGAGGTTCCAGCCACAAGTGGAGACTTGTATTGATGGAAGAAAGCATGCTTTGAATATAGACCATCCTGGAGCAGCATTGTCATGGGGGAGGTTGGAAAATAAGGTGTTGAGAACAAGAGATGTACCTTAAAAAGGAGAAAGAGGCTGAGGGGATGTGAGAGGACGAAAAGGAGAGGGTGAACCCTTGGTAAAAGGGAAAAAAATTGAAGGCAGGGCAGATTTCTTGGAGGGGGAGATAAGGGGCTGTAGGCTGCCACACAACTGCTGCATTCATATCGGAGAGCCACAATCCTCACCCTAGGGCTGTGCTGGAGCTGCAGCCAGCACAGACAGGGTCCTGTAGTCCTCATACACCAGAGTGCAGGGCAGAGGTCTCCAGTTTGCTGTGGTTTGACTCAGAGCCAGAATTAGGAGGACAGCAGTCTGATAGCCCAGAGCTGTGTTGTGCTGTGATGCTTCAGCCTGGGTCAGTGTTAGTCTGAGCATCTTTGATACATGTTACTGCTCGGTGGAGACTGGTCCCAGGGCTGGGCAGTAATTCTGGCCAGAGCTTTCTTCATATAGGTAGACAAAAATATTTTTTCATGCTCTGTTAATGGTCACTAGTGCTGGTTCAAAATTATTTGAATTTACACCCTGGAGCAGCTGCATTGTTCCTGTACTTAAATTAGCTGAAGGTCAGCAATCTTGAAACCTCTTCCGTGTTACCCTCTCTTCCTCTCCTCCCCTTGGCACTCTTCCACAGAAAGAGCAAAGTACACATGCCATCTTTGTGAAGGAAATCCTGGGTAATTTGGGGGAAGGGCGATGCTGCCTTCTTCTGTAGTGATAAAAGGGAGTGATTTGCAAGCAAAAGAAGAAGGAAGGACAAGAAGAAAAGGAATGTAAGAGTAAAACATAATGTTTCTCTTTACCCAGCCTCTTCACTCAATAAACCCCCACCTCCAAAGGCACCAAGATCTAAATGCAAGAAAAAGAAAGTGTTGTGTGTCTCTGCAGTGCTGCATTGCCCTGTCAGAGCCAGGAAGTTGCTTAGGTAGAGGAAGGTTTTGAGTCACAATGAGGTGAAACCCCAGCCTTTCCTTTCCATTCTTAATGTGCTCAAGCTGCTGGCAAGCACAGCTGTGCTTAGGTGGGAGTGGGAAAAGCAGAGCTGTTGGAGAGAGCTTGTTCAGGTTGTGTCTGTACCAAGGAGTGTGTTTGAACAGAGTCCCCTGGGGCATGAACTGCTGAGCACCAGGCTCGGCCTGGCAGGAGCGAGTGGCAGAGGCAGGGGTGGATTCCATAACACGGGATTGGCACATCAGCCTTGGCGGGTGATACGTGCCTGGGGCAGAGGTAAAACTCCACACAGAGCTGAGTTACAGTCTGAGCTCTCTGTTGCCCAGACACAAACAGGGATGGCAGGAGCCCAGGGGAAGGACGCGGGGGGTTTGCGCTGGTAGAACAGCCCGGGGGGTGGGGGGGGACTTTGCTGAGTCAGCAACTCATCTGAGCTGGAAGAAAAATTATTCCTGTCCCTTGCCAGCACTTCATGCCGATCCAAAATACAGTTCCCAGAACTGTCCCTACATATGTTAGCAAGAAGGCAGCTGTCTGCATATTTTTCTGCAAGAAAGTATGGCAACTGATGCGGCACTGAGCGCTGAGCCTGGGGTAATGGATGTCCTGAAGGGAATGCTGTGAAGTGCAGCGCTGAGGGGCTTAATCTGCCGACTGCCAGGGAGCAGGTTGTGCTTCCTGGCTCCGAGGGAGCTTGCAGACAAAACCCAGGACTGGAAGCAGGCAGAATACCAGCCGCAGGACTGGGGTCGTGTGGTGCAGTGTCCTTCGTTACAGCATCCTCACTGCAGGAACGGCGAGATGGGAAAACTACAGTTCCCATCACCCTTTTGTGCATGTCCCTGCGAAACTACAGTTCCCAGAACCTTTTAATGAGCCAGAGAGGATGTCTGTGGAAATAAATGCCGACGATATTTGCATAACGCCCTGCATCTCCGGAGTGCTGACCGGCCCATGGTCTGTGAAAACGGGAACAGGGGAAAAGCCAGGAAGTGTCAGCCCTGTGGAGCTGTGGCTTTGCCCAACCCAATAGCCGCCGTGATATCCTCCAGCACCGAGCAACCTTCCTCCTCCCAGGACACCCTTGGTAGTCACAGGGAAGATCCTGGTCCCCGAGAAACACGGCTGCTGCGGAGGGAGAGGCAGATAAACTACAGATCCCGGCATTCTCCGACAGGCAGCACCTGCGGCAGTCCCTGCACGCCGTGGGGGAGGTGGGGGTGAGGATGAGGATGGAGGGCAGGGAGGAGATGCAGGGCGCCGTGGGGCTACGCTGCACCTGGGACATTCCGCCACCCGCTGGCACCCAGGCCAAGTGGGTGAGGCTCAATGTGGGGGGCACCGTCTTCCTCACCACCAGGCAGACCCTGTGTCGGGAGCAGAAATCTTTCCTGTGTCGCTTGTGCCAGGGCGAGGAGCTGCAGTCGGACCGGGTAAGGCAGCTGGGTTGCCTCCCGCACCGTGCCCCACCGAGCATGGGGAGGGCTGGAGGGATGCAGGGATGGAGCCAGACTCTGGCAGCTGCAGGAGCGACTGAGTGAGGAATTCCTGCTCTTTTCCCCTCCTCTCCTGGGAAGGATTTCCCCATGCCAGATTTCACCTTGTTGTAGCCTGGCACCTGCTTTCCTGAGCTGGGAAAAAGAGAGGCCATCTCCCCTCTGCTCCTGCTCTCCTTCCTCTTTGTCACCCCACAGCCTGGGTTTACTTCCCAGCTGTGTCTGCCTGACTCAGCCTTGTTCCTGTAAGGGAATCTCTGCTCTCTCGCACCAGGCCAGGATGCACAGTTACACAAAGAGACTGAGGCCTATTTTTGGGCTTTTTTAGCTGGATTTATTCATGCTGAGGTGAGCATGCTGAGCAGACCAATACAGGAGTTAAAATCCAAGCTGACTGACTTGGCTAGGGACTCTCAGGAACGCGTGGTTTCCAAAGAATCTTAGAAATAGTGGACATTTTTGCTTAGGTTTTTATTTTCTTGTATTCTAGGGCATTTGACAGCTGGTTACAAGTTTTCCTTGGGTTTTTTCTCCTTGTGATCTGTATCTGTTGCTAGGATGAAACTGGTGCATACCTAATAGATCGGGACCCCACTTACTTTGGACCGATTCTGAATTTCCTCCGTCATGGGAAGCTGGTCTTGGATAAAGATATGGCTGAAGAGGGTGAGTTGTGGAACTCAGAAAAATCCCACTTACCATAGTCAGAAAAAATAGGACTTGTGGTCAGCCTTGTTGTCTCTTGTTCTTGTTTTGGATGTTGATGTGGGGGGATTTCAGAGAGCTATCTCTGCAAAACATGATGTTGTCTCCCTTAATAAAGGGGTTTGGAGTGGTTGGGGAAGGAATCACTGTAGGTGTTGTGGCATCACAACTGTCCAGCAGGGATGTCACCAAGACAGAAGTAGGCAAGATCTCAGAGCCTCAATAAGCCATTTTTTACATGTTCCTGATCTACTTTTAACCAGGCTCTATGACTGAGTTTTCTATTAATGTCTGTTTCTAATTAGGAGTGAAAGCCCAGTAGACCAAACAAAACCAAGCTCATCTCTTCTACTGACTTTAATAAAGACCATCATTAATCAGTGATATGCACTGCATGCTGCTTGTGCTCTCATGGGTTGTGGACTGCAGACATTCCAGTGGAGCAGGTCAGACAAACCAGTCCCTCATCTGAGGTTGACAGTGGGTCCAATAGGATGACTTGGTGACATCACAGTGTTACCAGTCAGCAGTCCACAGTGCCTTGTTATTTTTTGGGTGCTAGGGTCTAATAAGGAGTCAATTCCAAATACAGGTTGTGCTGGCCAGCCCTTGCCAAGCACAGTTTCTGCATGGTTATTAGTCTTCTTGCCTTTCTTACTCATTTTACCTAAAGCAAGGAAAGTTTTCTTCAGAATAGTCTTACCAGTTACAATTCCAAAAATATACCCAACTAATGGTGCAGGATTGTAATAAGCACAATTTTTAGGTGTTTCCTACTTGGCATTTCTTGTAATCCTGAGGTCAGAGAGAGTTCATCTGCAGGTTTTAATATCAAGTCTGAAATATAAACAGGAGTCCAGTTCATTGGCATTGCCTTTTTTTTAATCCTGCTGCAAACATTCAGACTGGCAAAAAACAAATCCATTAGAAAATTCATTGCTGAATGAGAGACACAGAAGAGGTCTTGGTGTGTCAGGTATTGAAGGTTCAATCTCCCCATCTGTATTTTCTTTGTACTGCCCTGGGGACATGCAGGTGTTGGCTTCCAGCCATCTTTCCCTCACTGACTCTCTGGCAACCACCTCCCTTTTCCTGAAGGCCTGTTAGCAAACAGGTGAGTCTCAAGAGAGGTGATGGATGCAAACACCATAGAGAAAAAACCAAAAACATTTGTGTTTACCTGTTTTAAGTTGAAGCACAGGGAAGAGAGCCAAAGATTGTATAAAGTCATATGGGGCTGCAACTCCAAGTGGCCTAGGAGGTAAGTTAGGCTTTTCTAGGGTCTTTTGGTGACTTGTCAGTATTGCAAGTTGTGTTTTTCTGCCTTAATAAGAGAGTCTGAGCAAGGTCAGACAAATGGTCATTGAGAGAGACTGGAGCCTACAGTTGTTCTCCTTGGCCAGGTCTCTGGTAAAGGTATTAGCAGTCCTCAGCACAAGCCTTCACTGGCAGTGCCTGTTTCTGTAGTAGCAGGCAGTGTAAGGAAGTTGGGGTGAGCATTAGAAACAAGATGCAGAGAGCCAAGTTTCAATTCTCTGCAGTAAGGGTTTCAAGCCTGTTAAAAAGTAAGGCAGTAATATAATTTCTCCCTATGGACCTTGTGAAGCTCAGAATTGATCTTTTGCAAGTCAAAAAATAAAGATGGGCTGCTAACTTTCTGCCTTTGTGGTCCTTCTGTCTGTCTTTCTCAGGGATCCTTGAAGAAGCTGAGTTCTATAACATTGGTCCTTTGATCCGAATAATCAAGGATCGAATGGAGGAGAAGGACTACACAGTAGCACAGGTATGGCAAGATAGAGTGGGGTGGGAAAGCAGGGGATGTAAAAAAGGAGAGACTTGAGTCCAGAGTGAGAGAAGCAGCAAGGAATGAAAGGAAGCAACTAATTAGAGATTATGTGCTAATCCCTATGCAGCAAAATCTTGCAGGGGACAAGCTACAACCAATTTAGTTACAATAAACCAGTAACTAAATGGATGTTTAGTTACAATAAACATGTAATTTCTGGGATGCAGTCTTCCTTTGCATCCCAGAAGTAATGCTGGAGGGTAACCTCTGAAACTAAGTGAGCTGCTCTAGCTTTTGGAAGAAGGCAGCTGGTTGCTGTGTGATATAGATGAATGTTTGTGAGGAGAGTAAAGGTGTCATGGAGAGGAGGACTGGTCTAGGGAGTCCTGGGTGTGTAATTACAATGAAGAGCAGAGAAATACTTGTAGAGAAACCTGGAGGAAATAGGTGAAGAGATGGCTGTGAAAGAGTTAAATACAGACAAGGAATCAGTCCTGTGGCACAGTCACACCAGTCTTGGCCAGCAATCATTGAAAATCTTTCTTAGAGGGAGGATTGTCTGCTATCTCACTTTTCATGTTGTCTGCCTCAGGTTGTAAGCCTCCAGCAGCACAGCCACTTTGTGCTGCAAAGCCCCATCAGCATTTTCTGCATTTGCAAAAATGATTTTGTACTTAAAAGTGCATACTTCCCCATCAAAGAGGGCAGTATCTTCTGGGGACAATGCAGGGAGCACTCAGCTCAGTCCCTACTCTTCAGGAGAGATACTGTTCTTGCCTCCAGTGACAGCACAGGAGAAAGCTGGACTGTGGTTTCCACTCCCCTTTCACCTGGGACATGGGGAAGAGGACAGGTCTGTCAAGGAGGGGTATTACCACTTCATTCTGCAGGAGGGGAACAGCTTTTAGCATGTGACAGTTGTCAGTGTGCTCTGCAATTTTGCTCTCAGGTGCCTCCTAAGCATGTCTACCGTGTGCTGCAGTGCCAGGAAGAGGAGCTCACTCAGATGGTTTCCACAATGTCAGATGGATGGCGCTTTGAGCAGGTATGGGTAAGGCAGAGCAGGGGGAGAAGAAGTTGTCTTCTGGGGAAAAGATCATGGATACCATGCAGTTGCCAGGCAAGGCTCCTTCCCTCTCTGAGAATACTGGGTAAGTCATTGATTGACTCACCACGCTCAATCAATGACTCTTAGAGTTTTAGAGGATGCTGTGTGAGGCCAGCCTGTTTTGCATCCTGGCTAACTTCTCTCCTGGTTCTCTGTGTTGTCTCCTCAGCTTAGTTATGAGGCCTTTCCAACAGGATTATGGATTGGACTTAATGCTGTGTGGTGGGCTTTCTGCCTTGCTCCCCAAGTGGAGTGGGTGTTTCCAGGAATATGTGCTTGTGATTCTTGCTCTCATCTTTTCTAGCTTGTGAACATTGGCTCATCCTATAATTATGGGAATGAGGATCAGACAGAATTCCTGTGCGTGGTCTCCAAGGAGTTGTACAACTCTCCCAATGGTGTGGGCTCTGAGCCCAGCCACAAAGCCAAGGTGAGATTAACTTTGCTATGCCCCTGCTCCCATTGCCTATGAGATCCTTTCCTCTTTGCTCCTTCTCTCTTTTCTCTTTCTCCTGCCACAGTGGGGCACCTCAGTGGTGAAATACAGGGGCCTGTCCTGGTGTTCAGGACCGTGGCATTATACCCGTTGCCCAAAAGGAGGAGTGTGTGTGTTGGAGGGGTGGTGTGTGGTTCTGTGTGGCAAATGGCTTTAGCAAGTCACCCTGGCACCTCTCATGCTACTCTAACATCCCCCTCATGCCTCCTCATGCCCATTCTGTGTGTATCACTGCCTATAGGGCATTATTTCCCTGAAGGTTTTGCAGCATTCTCTTTTCTTTTTGAGTCTCAGCCTGAGGGGCAGATATCTCCTGCTCCCCTTTTGAGGGAAGGACAGAAACATGTGGCAGTGCATGGCATTCTGTAGACACCCAGGATGCAGGAAGGAACACTAGCAACTGATGGCAGTTGTTGGACAGTGGGGTCACAGCACTTGTAAGTGGGTTAGATACCCTGGTGTGATACTCCAGAGGAAAACAGCCCTCTCTGTTCCCTGACCTAGAATTGTCTTGGCCATGGGGAAAGGTCCCTTTTTATTCCAGTGTTGTGACAATTGCTTTGTTCCGTTATGTGTCAGAAAGATCTGCCATGGCTCATCTTGCAAGTATTTCCACTCTTTCTTCCTTTTGTCCCACATGCTGGGCCACAGAACACAGAGGAGGACCTGGAGGAGGAAGAGCAGGAGGTGGAGGAGGAGGCAGAGGCAGAAGCAGAAGCAGAGGAGAAAGGTGCAGCAAATCCCTGAGGAAAATGATAAAAATAACCCCCCAGGCATAGACTCGTCCACCTTTCTGGTGAGAGCTCACAGCTAGCAGCAGGGAAGACTAGAACAGGTGTGGGGTGTGGGGGCTGTCCTCTCCAGGAGTTGGAGTCTCTCTGGAGATAAAGCTGACAGGGGAGAGCTGTTACCATGGCTGCTGCTTTGTATTTTTGACTGTTTGGTTTATCTACGGTTTTATTTTTATTTGCAGACTGTCCATCTATTCGGGATTGTGCTAAACTCTCTTCATGTGGACCCTCCCTCCTGCTCCCTTCCGTGTCCATCCCAGCACTGTCATCTACCTCCCACATTGCCCCACTCGCCAGCCTCCAGCATCCTTCCCTCTGCTCTCTTTGTCCCTCAGGGCTCAGAGTGGTCTCTGCCCGGGGCCCTGTCTCTCTCTGCTCCTCACTTTTCCTCCTCTGCAGGTATGTTACCTGTCTGCACTCCCAGCTCCTGCCAGCCTGAGCTCTGCATGAGTGACTCACTTCCCTCTTGTGGGTATGGCCCTGGTTTGTAGAGCTTGGGGAGGGGAAAGAGGGAGGTGTGAGGTTGACTCATCCCTAAGGTGCCTTTACATACTCTGATCCTAAGCGTGCCTTTACCTGCCAAGCAGATCCTATGGCTGTGGACCAGAGGCTCTGGCAGCAGAAAGGAGAGTGCAGCTGGGAGAGGGGTGGAAATGAATACAAAGCAGGCAGGGGTGGTTCGGGGAAGGGGTGGAATTTTGCCACGTGTCTGCGTGACATGCATGCCAGATCGCTTCTCCAGACTGCCGTCCGCAGCTCCTTTGCCTGCCAGCCCGGGCAGTTTGCAGAAGGCAGTCTGTTATTTTTCCTTCCCTGGGCTTTTCCCCCACTGGCTCTGCCAGGGTGAGAGTGCAGTAGGAAAGGTGGCAAAGGCAGAGCAGAAGCAGCTGGTCCCCACTGCAAATGTTCTCACAGCTGTGTGCAAAATGAGGCTCTCTGCTCTGCCTCCTGCTTAGGAAGGCTGGCTGGCCGACATGTGTGGGGCCGGGTACGGAAAGTGTTAGAAGGAGGATTCCTCTCCATACTGCAAAACTGTGAGGCTCTTGTTAAACTGGAGATGCTCAGTGTCAATCTCCACCGGTCCTGATGGAGGGCACTTGTTAGCTCGCTGACATTTCTCTCTCCCTCTGTTTGAAAGCCTCCTTGTCTGTGGCTGTGGGACCTGAGTGTTATTATCTTACGACTCTGTGTATGTTAATCACATGGAATTTTTCTTCCTTTTTTTCTGTTTTCCCACCCTCATTTATTTTCTTTTCCTTCTGTTTGTGTTTCCTGTCATTTCCCCTTTTCTGTTTCTCTCTCTCCTCCATGCTCAGTTGCTTTTTTTTTTTTTTTCCCTGCTACTGATTGTGTTTCTCTTTCTCTCTCCTTCTCTAGCTGTTACAAGCCAGAGATCTGAGGATGTGATCTGAACACTCCACTCCAGCCTTTTCAATTTTTGTTTATATCTTTATTTTTGTACTGCAGTGTATGGCAGCCCCTTCTCCCACAGTGACGCCCCCAGCGCCCTTCACTCTTCACATGCAGCCATTTTTTTTACAAACTCACTTCGGAGGCCTGAGCTTCCAGACCTGGAGGTGGGCAGATGCTCCATGGAGCCCCTGAGCTGCTGTAGGAGCGGGAGCCCGCAGCCCCCTCCTATGCCTGGCAATCTGGCTTTCCTTAATGTCACAGTGGCCCCTGGTGGGGACATCAGCGATCAGCCACTGCAGCCTGCGGTCCCTTCCTGAGCACCCTGGATGCAAATGTGGGCCGAGGTGGTGGCGGCTGTGGAAGGACCAGCCCTTGCCCTTTCACTGTTGCAGGCAACTGGTGTGGGCTTGTGGCCTGGGGACAAATGCAGAGCCACCGTCCTTTTGTGGGCCGCCTGTATCACTCGGAGGTGTCCCTGTGCTGGGTATCACGTTCCTTGGTGCCTCCCTCCCTGTCCCCCCCAAAGCAGCTCTGTGCCAGCAGTGTGAGGAGGAGAATGGTGTGCTGCCTGGGTACCAGGAACATGCTGGTACCTGGTGTTGTGTCAGCCAGCACCAAGCAGATCCCAGTTTTGGGGAGCGGGGTGTTTGCTTCACTGCTGTGTCTGAAGACTCCTGAATAAAATTCACAGTCTGTTCCTCCTTGCCGCCTCTCATTTTAAGTGGCAAGAATTCATTCCTGCTGTAAGGGGGTGGGAGTTGGAGAAAAGGAGTTTGGATTCATCACCTGGAGCCACCAGAAGCTGCTTGTACTGTGCCTACCTTCTGGGGGCTGGAGGTGTGCTTCCCACTGTGTCTGTGCTGCTGCATCCCCAGTGCAGGCAGCTGGGCTACAGAGCAGGTTTGCTTATTGGTATCTGCAGCCCTAAATCATAACAGTAAGTGAGGACCACCTGTATAGTAAACTTATTGATCCCAGGGACGTCTGATGTGGGGGGGTGGGCAGGGGTGTGGAAACTTCTGCCAGTTGCCAGGGCCAGGACTGGAGTTTGGTCAAAACCATACAAACCTCGAGATAATTTTTAGCGGAGTGAGGCAAACTAGAGCCAAAAAAATCCTCAAATTAATTTTATTTATAATTCCAGAGGGTGGTCGATTATATACACATACATACACATATATATTTAGTTAAAAAACCAAACCCGCAGCAGTTGCAGTTTAAGCCCTCTGCCCTGAAGCCTTCTCCTTCATCTCCTGCATTACCTGAGACAGGAGATGGAAGAGGTTGAGATGCCCTGATGTTAAAGGTGTTTAGAAGGGCTGAGGGAAGGGGATGGGAGTCTGCTCCAGCATTTTTGCTGGGGGAAGTGCAGCAGTGGAGGCTGGGTGCAGGGGAGGCAGGACACGTGCTTGGGGGTGCGATGCTGGGCTCATGCCTGGGAGTCAGTGAGACGTGAAGAGTTGGCTGGCTGAGCTGAACAGCACACTGAACAGCACACGCCAGCTAAGAAAAGAAGCAATTAGGGAGATGGAAGAGGAGGAGTGATGGGAGGGGAAGGGGGATGAAGGATAAGCAGCAGGAAGGAAGAGGGAGGCAGATTGATTTCACAGTTACTGGAATCTCTAACTACATCAGTCACATTTTTTTTCAGCAAATGTTCCAGCATAAGACTGTGGCTGAATCACATGGTTCATGGAAAGTTCAGCTCCCCTTATTCCTCTTCTCAGAAACCATCAGCTTGGGCCTATTGCTGTGTGTCATGTCATTGCCCCCAGCTCCCCCACCTGGCTCCCTTCTCCCTGCTTTTGGATGGATGGCCTAAAAGCCCCTTGGGATGCTCCCTGGGAAGCACTAATGGGGAAGAGGGTCTGCCTGCTTTTCTCTACAATCCCTGCAGGAGCCTTTTTTTACCCAGTTCAGAAGAGCATCCTGGGTCTGACAACATCCCACACTCTCTTTCTTTGGGAGGCAAGTGAGCAAGATCAGGAATGAGTGCCATGTGAGTGTAGGTGTGATGGGGAGAAGACAGAGATGCACTTTTCTCAGCTCATGGTTTGGTTCATCCAGCCCAGCACTTGAGTGATCCTGGTGTATACTCCATAGTGATTTGCACGTGCACATCCCATTCCCCAGCTGACCAAACCAGCCAGAAACCATCTGCCACTGGGTTCTTTGCAGGCCAGTGGACCTCCAGAATCACCCTAGAAAAAGAAAAGTAAAATAAAGTGGTGATCCACCAGCTTCTGCTGCTGCCTGATTACATTGTCTTTGACCCCCTCTGTATACAGATCCCTGTATCCCCTCAACTCATGCCTGGGACATCTGCAACATTCCTTGTACTTTAGGCAGATGTCAAAAACAGTCTCCAGGGCAAACATAGGTATTCCTTCATTGTGCAAATTCCTTCCCCTCCACTAGATCCCCAAAAAGCTGATTGTGCTACTGATTCCTCCTGGTCCATATAGCATTTCCAAATACATGGCAGGCAAGGATAATTGTTGGAATTTAACTGGATTCCATGAGGGATAGCAAAGAGGAATTCCTTGAGATTAATAGTAATGAAGGAACACACAGGTTACTGTGTATGACAGGTGCTAAAGAGGCTGAGAGTGTAAGAGACTAATGTAGTCACCTGACTTGAAAGTGGGAGATAGAGTGGAGAATGGGCTGAAATGAGAAAAGGGTAATTTGACTGTATTTTGTTCCTGTCTAAGGCAAGGATGCTGGGAAGAAATGGTCATGAGAGCTGTTGTTGGCTGCTTAGATCACAGGAAGTGTTGGGAAAGTGACCTTATATGGTCTTTCCTCCCTCATTTCAGGCTGTGGATTGCATTTGTGAGACTTGGGACACATCCCACCTCTGGTAGTCAACCCTGATCCCACAACTCCTCTGTCACCTGGCAGGCATCCTTCTTGCCCTGGTAGTACCCAGCACACAGCATCCTGGGAGTAATCATGTAGTGATAAGCCTCACTGCAGATGTTCTGCTGGATGAGCTGCACATCCACCTTCTGCAGAATATTGCTGATATGCCCTGAAAAGTAAAGCACCAAAATTAGCACAGGTGAGCTATGGTGGAACTTTCCCTAGCTCATGCCTACCTCACTGCATGCTGAAACCTGCCACTGGAATTTCTGTTCTGCTCTCCACTGGCACCACAGTCTCTGAATTTCAGCAGAGCACTTTTTCTGTGTGGAAGGCATAAAATTCCCCTTCACTCCTTTCCCTACAGGGATATTTTGTGGGCACTTCAGCTTTTGGGACAAGGAGTATTCTGCTTTGGGGAAATCCCTGGGTTGTCAGAGTCTTGGGTTTGTTTCTCACTGAAATGGATGTTAGGCTCTTCTGTCTAAGAGTACAAACCAGGAGTGTCTAGTTCTGTGTAGTCTCCTGAGTGTTTCCAATTCGGGAGCAGCTGGAAAAAGTCTGTAAGTGAGTGAAGGCACTAAGCTGACCTGAAGGACTATTCTAGTCTTTGAATGAAGAAACACACGCAGTCCCCATACAGATTACCAGACTGCCATGCCTGCCTCTCCACATGAGGTTTCAGGGCACTCAGCAGGTAACTTTGGTCAACCTATTACCCAAAATCAGAAGGAGTAAAGGAGGCACAATGTTTTGGGATGAACAGAAGCCTGTTCTGCCTATGACACATCTGAACCTATGTTTCTGCATCAGCACTGCTGCAGTAGGCCACCAAGAGATGTTGAACCTACCGCCTTCCTTGAGGGCCCCCCAGCCAGTGATCCAGCAAAGAAGGCCAGGCTCAAAGATGTGAGATGGAGCAGGGAGGCAGATGGGCTGGATTAAGGGCGAGATGATCACAGGATGATCCAGCTGGAGCAGGGCCACATCATAATCGTGGCTGTCCTCCTCATAATAAGGGTGGAGAAAGAGATGGATAACCTTGAAGGACACCTCTGTATGGCCGGTGGCATTTTGCAAGTATTTACCCAAGTAAACGGTCCAGATGGAGGGGGAGGCCAGCCTGTAGGATGCAGCAGAGGAGCATGGGACCTAAAGGCCACACTTTGCAGGTAATGCTATCCCCATCCTAGCACATGCTGACATCTCCATCGTTGTGACAGCATGGGGACAACACAGAGCCAAAACAAAGGTGGAGCTGTGCAGTATCTTCTGCCATCATTGCCCCCTCGAAGCTGCTGTGCGAATCCCAGCACTGCCCCTTTTCCCCTGCACACCACCAGATAATACTGCATATATCCAAATCCCTTTCTTCAGTTCCAAGCCATGGAGAACCATGGCTGACATGCTAGAGGAGGAGTGCAGCTGCCCCATGACATTTTCATCAGTCAGAAGAGCCTCCCATCATGCATGACATGGAAAGCAATGCAAATCTTTCTATCCAGCGCCTCCCTTCTCCATTTACCTCTCATCCTGGAAGCAGTGCGCGGCTGAGACCACCCAGCGGTCAGCAATGAGTGTTCCCCCACAAATGTGGCGGCCCCGAACTTGGAGGCTGGCCTGCCATGGCCATTCCCCTTCCACAGAATTCGTACCACCCACAATCCTGTTGAGAGGGGCTTGCATCCCACAGTCTGAGGAGGAGACATAGCAGGTACTTCAGGGAAGGAAGGGAACATGAAATACTGTGCCTGCCCTTCCTTTCCTATTTAGTTGACTGAAGAGTCAGACATCTAATTGCTTGTCTTACCCAGCCAGCACACGGTTTTATGTACTGCCTAGGACAGGTCTAGTGAGCACTCCCTCCCAGCATTCCCCACCTCCAGCTGCAGCCTGGGAATGCCTTTGGGGCAGCATGCTGACTGTGCTAACTGCTGTGCTGTCAGGAAACCCTCCTGGTCATTCCCCTTCACTGCCTACTGAGATTCCAGAAAAAAACAAGTAAGGAAATCAAAACATTAACTCTCTCCCTGCCAGTGGCCATGCAGACCACTGGGTGATTTTCCTAGCTGGAGCCTTGTACAATAGCATATAAGCCAACACAGTGGTCAAACAGGCAGCCTGTGGGTTGAACCTGGCCTGTGAGACATGTCTGCCTGGCCTGATGCCTCTGCCTGAAGGAGGCAGGGAGCAGCTGTACAAAGAGCAAGAGCTTTCTCACACTCAGCACAGAATTGGCTTGTTGCTGCTGTCCCTGCCACTGCAGGGTGGAGCAAGGGCACTGGTACTATGGGACTGAGGTGGGGAGAAGGTGGTGGAACAAGGGAGTGTGGGTGCTTCTTCTGGGTGGTGGGAGAAAATGGGGCAACTTGCAGCTACGTGTCATCCTGAACCTGCCTGCCGCGTGGCTGATCATTTCCTCACCACAGTGATTCTCATCAGACAGGTCCTTGCAGTCTGCAGTGGTGTCACACAGGGGGTTGGGTTTCTTCACACAGGTCCCATCTTCACAGCGGTAGGTGAAAGGACTGCAGGGAACCCCTGCAAAGAGGAACGGAAGCCAAGGCTGAGAGAGGGCAGCTGGTTGTAGATGCAGCCTGAAGTCCTTTAAATGAGGAGAAAGGGCAGTAGAGAGCTTGGGGGAACTCCATAAATGATGACAGGGAATTTCCTGAACAAACAAACAGCTCACAAACATTGTGAGGATGCTGGGTGAGCTGAGTTCCAGATGGTGCCCTTATGTCACATGCGGGAAGTACTCTACAGACAGCCTTGGTTCGAACACAGGGGTGGGCATTTGTCATCCCAGCGCTGACCCCTCCCTACCTCCACTGCA